AATCGAGTGATTGGAAATTGAAACGTAGTCGCGGCCAATATTTGTGAGATAATTAAAAAAAAATAAATGCCACAGAATATTCCTTTGAATGATACYAAACATTTGACGTTAAAAAAAAAAAGTAGAGAAGTTCGAAACGGATCACCCTCTACTTCCACCCCCGTGAAGCGCCCTATCAGGCAAGAAAGCGCTTGAAGCGGTGCTAAGAAAAAAAATAGAGGTACATGAGGGACGAGTTTAGTAGGCCATTGTCCTTCAATAGTAGAGTCAAATAGCACTTTCCGCAAAATCAAGCTAATGCTATACTATTGAAAAAGTTCGCTTCAATACTTGTATATTTTCCTTATTTTTCTGATTACAATACATTGGTGCCAGTTATCATAGGATTGGAAAACAAAGAATAAATACATATCTATATATCGGTTAAGCTATAAATGGTTTTTAACATATTTGTTTTTAATACATATGGTATATTCTTGTTTATTAGACTAGTATATTGATTAATAAGACTGATAAATTTTATACATTTGTTGTATAATCTGGAACAATTGTGTACAAATTTATCCTGAATCATGGTTTTTAGTACAGTATCGATATTTTTTAAATCATAGTATATATGAAAGTCATTGATATAAAACATATGACTTGAAGGACACTGAATATTTTTTATATTTGAGTTTCCCTGCTTTTTCAACAGAAATAATCGTCGTTTGGCAATAAAACACAGTATTTCTAGAAATTCGGCAATATTTATGCCAAAGTCTACGTGCAAAATTTGCTGACATTGTTCATTAAAATTATGACTTCTTCTGAAATCATTGATCTCAATCACAACTTTCCTCAAATTAGACGAAATATTATTCCATATATATTTTAAATTGGCAGCGTTAAACCAGTTATGATTCACCGATATAGTGTCAGTAATATTAGTTACTTGATGATACCACCCACTTGGGACAAATATGCCTTCGTTTTGTTTTTGATATACTACGAAATACTTTATTTTAGATTTACGCAAAGTTTCCTCATTAATTTCACAAGGTAGTTTTTTATACTGATCCAATAATTTCAACTCCTCCCCGGGAGGTAAGAGAATCCACTTTTTGCAACCGTATACATTTGCAGACCAACTGAATGATCCAAAAACATCTACATGAAAAGGAGTCCTGCTTGAAAAATAAAAAGAAAGCAATTTTATGAGCCTTATTTTTTTTGTACACAATTTTACCATGTATTTTTCGGTCCCATATAAACGAATCGATAATCATCTCGGTGATTCTCAGTTAAGAATTCATTCAACCAATCCGAAAAAAAATGCTTAGGAACATTGTAGAACTCGTAATTCCGAAGGTAAGCTTTTAAATGCCAATCTTTTAAATAGAGATGCACCGAATCTTCACCACTATTTCGACTTAAAATAGATTTTTCCCATTTGTCAATATAATCGTAAAATGACACTTCAATTGATACACTTTTATCTATACAGTTTGTTACAGGAACTAAACAGTCCTTTATTTTATCCTTAAGATAGGCAAAATTTATATTCATCCGTGTTGCATTTTTTCTTGATATCCACGTGTGACTGCATTCCCATTCACTAGATATATTTGTTATAACTGCTGGCCAATTTTGATTAATAAATTCCCGATAAAAAGTATTATAAGATATCTCGTCTACACGAAATCTTATTATGTCATTTTTTAAATGTGTGTTTAATTTAACACAATTCTCCAAGTCTAAGCGAATCATATTTATCAACCTAACTCGGTTGTTACGGGGCATCTCGAAAGGATAAAATCTATGTCTTATTAACTGTATTACCGTGCCTATTGCCTGTGGAGACTCCACATTGCTTATTGTTTACAATATATGGAATACTAATTAGTTTGCCATATATCGTAAGCAATAAGCTGTCACTTCAGCAGTTTGACAGACCAGTTTTCACTTCACCATTTGCACATATGCCGACGGCATTTTCATCTTGGCAATATGAAATTGAAGATCGACTATTAAGACGGTTGTTGACATTTTCAAAATAACATTACTCCAAAAAATTATTATTT